GTGAACATTGGATCCTGTAAGACAGTTTTGCCAGTCCTATCAACTGTTCGCCAGACCTTCTTTAAAAAAAAATGAAAAAAAAATAGTTGGATTAAGATACCTTAAACCTTGACTGGAACGACCAGGTAATAGATATGACCAGGGGTGGTTTAATGACTGGGATCTCACTCAATTTAAATGTTCCTGTAACATTAGATAAATAAATGACAATGCTGTACTACAATTGATACTTGAATGTTTTTGTTTAATTGTATTTACATTAAAGTATCTGGTATATGGTTGTCCCTTATTGTAACTTTTGGTTTCAAATGCTATTCAACTATACATTTGATTTGCCGTTTAACAGTTACAACTGATTTTATTGTTGCACCGTTGATTTATGGAGACGAAACCTGTGTTTGTCATACTAACAGAATTCTCGCTAAGGCGCGTACAGCTGGACGCATTGTTTTCTGTCTGGATGAGCTATGCATGAACCCGTACGTCCGAGGAACGCCTCCTGATAACACTAGGCTGAGTCTAGTTATCATTAACTATTCCTCAGCTATCAAAAAGAAGCTGAAATCAGGGCCGTAACTACATTGAGGCAAATGAGGCAAATGCTTCATGTTGGAAATTTAAAAAAAATTTAATAAGTTGAAACAAAAAGCTTGTCTTCATATTAGATTGTTTTCACGGTGAGTGACTTGTAAGAAGCAAGCTCTGTTCACCCTCTGACGTCGCCCCTGTTTTTTCGGATCCATGTTTCTCATCTATTTTTAGTTTTCAGTGTTGATTGTCTATAATTTGTTGTTATGTGTCTTATCTGTTCACGGGTTTGTCTTTTGTTCATTGATTGCCCTTCTTCATGACTATTGTCTAAGCGTTGAATTTCATTTGTAAATTAGTAATTTTGTTTTAAACTTGAGTTTTATTATATTTAAGGACCTTTAGTCTAATTTCAAAAACTACTTTAAATTCTAAAAATATGTATCGGTTAGTCTATGAAAAATTGATAATGAAAAATAAAAAATATCGAAATAGCATCAGTAGTCGAAGTGGTCGGTAATGACGGGTGAACGGTTGTGTGGTTAGGCAATGTTAGATCTCCACAGATGTCCAGATATTGCTCGAGAAAATGTTTTGAGAAGATACGAAGCTACCGGACATAGAAAAATTGGTCGTTTTTTCATGGAAAATTATACTTTATATTAACGAATACAAAACTGGCTCTCTTTTCTATTAAACTAAAAAGATGACATGGGTTAAATTAAAGTGAGACAACCAATCTCCTGGAATCAAATCATTTAAAAAGAAAAATAATGTATTGCTATATGACCTTTTACATTGAAGGGCGTCAACTTGCATTAAGCCGTGTTCAGGTCCTTTAATATAAAATAAAGGAATATGGAGTAAATGTGCATGGAAAAAATACAAATTATCAATGAACAGGACTTTTATTCCTGTTCTTCATCTTGACAGTCGCTGGAGGGTCTTCAACAATGAACGAATCATTCATACCTTACAACAATGTCATGACGGCCCCAAGCGCCGAATTAAGCGGTACTTAAAGTAACTGTGAATAAATAACAAAGTCATAAAAAAATTACACCAAAGTCTAAACGCAATACAAGACCAGAACAGGCAGATCCGACATTAATCGCCCGATATATATTAAAACAGCACAAAAATGTAGCAATGAGGTCTTTTAAGAACAGTTTTCCTGAGTGTACCCTGAGTGTACCCTTTCTATCCCAGTTAGGAACTACATCAAGTTGTAATTGAAATGTGTTATAAAAACTGAATTCACATAGTTATGTTATAGATATTTCATATCTTTTGGATAGTTTTGCGGTGTTTCGTAAATTATACCATAGCTTTTGTTGAAACCCCCGGCAATAACCTCACGAGACGAAGTCGAGTGAGGTTGCCGAGGGGTTTCAACAAAAAACTATGGTATAACTTATTACGAAACAACGCAAAACTATCCAAAAAATATGGAATATCTGTTTTAACTTATCGCATCTTTTGCTGTTTAAAATTGTATATTTCATATATTTTTGTTTGTTTATTTTAAAAATAGTTTTGATAAGAATCAGTTAAATAACCCTTTTCGGGCCTTACACATAAAGCTCCGCCTACTTTCTAAAATAAGCACGGACTTCTGAAACAGCGGGAAAATCAGTAAGACGAGATGTTTCAACAGAGATGGATGCACATTTACATTGGTGACGGATAACGTTACAGACGAACAAATGTTAAAGGAATTAGATGTTCTGGATATGGACGCAAGAGACCACAGATTAAAAGTTGAACTGCAAAGGGTTAGTTTTTTTCATTTCATCAAAATGTTTGAATGTTTTAATTTTTTAATATTCATATATAATTCTGAGGAAAGTAATTTCACAAGAATCTTTTTGAGAGTTTGGATGAATCATTCTACATTTTAATTTGTACCTGAAGCCCAAGTCGTACATAAATTAAAACGGATTTCAAAATGTTCATAATTAAAATCACTTGTTTACTAGCAATAATTTGCATAAAAATGTAAGCTTCATTTAGAAAAACCAGACGCCATCTAATTTTAATATTTCAACATTATTGTTATTACTTGAGCAACCTCGTTAAAGTCTAGATGTCAGCAATGTATAACACATCGGGTGCGGGTCCAGGATTCTGAAAGGGGGATCTAGCAAGCCAACATTTGGAGTAATACAATGAAAAAGTCTATGCATTTACCAAATATGAAGCTCCTTAAAAGGGGCTTGCTCCCTGCCCTCCCCCGAAAAGCCATCTCGGCAAATTAAAATCTATACATGTAGCTGTAAAGTGAAGCCTATGGAATACATTCCAAGTATAAATCTAAATAACCGAAAATCAACTTATATTTTCCAGTATAATATATACACATTTATATATTTTTTTTAACTTTATTTGTTTGTTTATTTGTTCTAGGAGCGATTTTTTTTTCATTTAAAAATATAGGACAACAGAGTTGGTCTAAGTGGGTTCGATTCCCACCCTAGGCATTCATTTATATCGGCTGGTGCAAAGCGGGCAGTTTAGCTTAGTGGCCCCGCACTGACTCTGTTGTTCAAATGTCAAAACATTCAGACAGCCAGGTCTTGCTATCTTTCTTTTTCTCGAAGACCCTATACAACAAAACCATGGTATAATTGTGAAAATTATACCATAGATATCTATGGTATACATTTCGGTTATTGAGATTTATACTCGGGTTGCATTCCCATAAGTTCCATTGCACAGCTATAGGTTAAATTAATGATAATCAGCTCCTTCTTAGCTTAATTTGAAAAGAACATAATTGACAGGTATAATACGTTTTCCCTACAAGCAGAAACTCAATAACAAAAAAAAAAAACTAAACAAAAAAACAGCAGCCACACACTTAACTATGTGAATTACGATTTTTGCTTTATCCTTCATATCGGTCTTTTGATGTTGTCCCTAAAAACTAAAAGTCTTACACTGAATCTATATATTTTGCTTTGAGACCAGAATATTGTCAAAAAAATAATTAAAACAAAACTTGCGTTTCAGATTAAGAAAGGGTCCGGGAAACGCTCATAATGTACGATTTTGCGTCATTTTTTCCAGAGCTTTTGAGGGCCTTGAGCGGCCCCCAGACCCCTCGCCGGAAATTTTTTCGCCAAGCGACGCGAGATGAATAATTGAGCCTCACTTTTAACAGAGGCTAGTTACGGCCCTGAAATTGGAAAGTGGGAGGTCAGTCAAACTCCTGAAGATGAAAAGCAAAAACACTTTCGATGGTCTAATAGTCTAGTAGTTAGTCAGTGTCTCTTAATCATTTTCTTTTTTATTAGCTATTAAACAAATAATTGCCAAAAATGGGATGCTCTTCCGCCAGTAAATTTCCCCATGTAAAAGAAGGATTAAAGTTGATGTAAGTTATTATAGACCCCATGAAATACCTCTCTTGACCTTCAAATGTCTTTTCTTGTTTTATTGTGTTGTTTTAGTTGCTGTCTCAGTGACAAATAAAAATACATGTACCCATCATCTATCTACCTTTACTACTATCAGAGTTTTGACAAAGCAGACATCATAGTTAATTCATTTGCCGTCAGCCTCGTTTTCTATTGTTATTAAGAGCATTTGGTGTTGATGGCAGATTTTCTATTGGTTCTGCTTAATTCATTCAAAACATTAATAGGCCCCGTGTTGAAGGCCGTACTTTGACCTATAATGGTTTACTTTTACAAATTGTGACTTGGATGGAGAGTTGTCTCATTGGCACTCGTACCACATCATCTTATATCTATTATATAAAAATAAGGAGATGTGGTATGATTGCCAATGAGACAGCTATCCACCAAAGTTCAAATAAAATGGATGTACACAGACCGGACGTGGCAGGGTATTTATCCGTTCTCATCACTAACAACCAAAAGGACACTAAGTACATATCTGAGAGTACTCGCAGTTACTGACAGCTAATTCAAAGCCAATAACAACTATTAAAAAATTAATGTATCTAAGACTTAAATATCAATCAGTACACATCCAACATCCAATGGATTTAGTGTAAAGACGTCATAAACAGTCAGAGAACATGACCTTGTGCAACGCCAAAATAAAGGTATCGACAGATTGTAGTACCGTTAAAATGGATATGTGTATAACAAATCTTTAGTATGATTTTAATTTACTGATGACAAAATCAATATTTATACCAAAAAAAAACAATATTCAAAGATCTAATTACAGTGTTGAATTGGTAACCTTTTAGAATAAGTTTATTGAAAGGATTGATTATGGCGATTAAAAGCTTGACATAGTGTACAGAAGCCTATCTATTGTTGAAGACTATATACTGCCCTCTATAAATGTTCTCTGGTTATTCTTGAAGTCAGATTGCTGTCTCATTGAGGTAAAAAAACGTACATGAATAGGCCAGATCTCCTAACCAACGTTCATATTTCTGCATATTTCAATGTTAGTTTTGGCGCCAAATTTATATAATTGTCAAACAATGAACATAAGTTTTAAGATGCAATTTAATTTTTGAAAGCAAATAATTAGTTTTCGTTTAGTTTTTGTATCGGTCCATGACATCTAACCATCCACGTTGTAGGCAAACTCTTAGGCTGAAAAAAATAAGAAAAACAAATGAAGGAAATAACAGTTAAGAAATCATGAATTATTATAACTGTAATCGTGGAACTTAAATTATAGGCTTAAATATACCGGAAAGACTGATTTTTTTAACAAGAAAAAATAATTTCAACGAAATTGAAGTTCAAGAAACATTTCAATTTATATTGATTTTTTTAACCGTTTCTTGGAAAGGAACATTTAATTTAAGAGAGTAATTCCTAGTGATTGCAACAATGCAAAACCATTCATCATTTTTTTTAAATTTCTGTAATTTTACACAGTACAGTACAAATATTTTCTATTGCGAATTAATTATATTTAAATATTTTGTTTGCACATGGCTAAAAGACAAATAACTCTCTATAAGTTTAATTACCTGAACATTTCCGTTGTATAAGAACATCTCGCATGTTTCGTAGAGGATCAAAGCTTGAGTCGGAGAATACATATTTGTTATATGGCTCTGTTGCCATCTCCTTGAAAAGTTCCTGGTTAGTATGGGAGCCAACGCCTATCACCATCACCTTTATCCCACTGTTTTTTGCCTTCTGTGCTTCTCCCAGTGTTTTGGAAAGTCCCTTGTCAGACCCATTTGTTAGTATGACCATCATTTTCTTTGCCTTGCTGCGAGAATCTGAAGGATACATTTAAATTTACAAGATTCGTCTCCCATAAAAACTAGACATTTAGAGACAATAATAGATTAGAATAAAACAGATAGCATCATGGCCAAAGAAAACAGACGAACAAACAGACAACAGTCCACAAAACACTATACCAAGAAAACATAAGAGTGCGCAACACGAACCAAAAAAAAATTGGGTGATCGCAGGTACTTCTTCAGAAGGGTGAGCAGTTCCTGCTCCACTATTGGAAACATCATTTTTTTTGTTGTAATTTTGATGAGTTTCTTTATATCTTTCTTTGCGGTATGGGTTTTGCTCATATTTGAAGGCCGTACATAAACCGATAGTTGATAACTTCTACGTCATTAGATCTTAAATTGGCGGAGAGTTGTCTTATTGGCAATCATACCACATCGTCTTATTTTTACATTTACTATAACAAAAATCCTTAAGAATAATAAATACATTTTAAGAATTTGATAATAATAGTTAAACATGCGCAAGTATGTCGTTAGGTGATTATTTAATTTGCGTATGCCCCCACGTCTCCTTTTAATCAAAATAATAAATGACTGTTTGACTGCTGTCTCACTCTGCGCCAGTGAAACAGTTGCGAATGTTTTAGTTTCAGGACGAGATTTAAATGATATATGATTTACCTGGGAAACTATTCTTCCTTGTATATTCAATAGCTTTTCCAGTATTCACCTTTCCTCCAGTGTATTTTATTTTATTAACAGCTCTAATGATGTCTTTCCCCTTTTTATACGTTCCAACTTGGAATGCTGTACTAGCAGTACATCTGAATGTATTGACACCAACTTGGACATTTCCTTTACCAACCGGTACTTCTTGGACAAGATCTTCAACAATGTCTAACATTTTCTGGAAATTTTGTTTCCCTACATGACAAGAATCTTCAAGGACAAATACCAAATCAGTCATGCCCCAACAAGCTGCCAAAATAAAACAAATTAAGTTATATACTGTGTAACATATGTATTGACATGTGAATTTAGGGAGCTTCATGTTCCATTTCAATGTTAATGGGGGGGGGGGGGGGGGGTCAACTGTAACACGAGATAATGTACAGGTTAATATGTCAACATAACAGTAACAATGTAATAATAACCTTTAAACTGGGTGCACGCTTTTAATATTCTAATATAAAAGGTATTATGAATATATTTAATTCATGGATAGATACTGAAATACAAATTAAAAAAGAATAAGTACAATTCTAAATTAAATCGCTGTTATCCGTACATTCGTTTTTTCAAATGAAACAGAACAGCTGCATTTAACAGGTCGGGCATATTTCCTTATACGGACATGTATAATTATTTAGCATACGTATGCCCCGTCAATGCATGTGCTAGTGTTTGTTTACAAATAAAGCATTTTGTTTATTTTGGCGATTGACCTATGCACTGAATGATTTGGAATGTATGATGGACTACTTGTCTATAACTGACACACTACTTAATTTTTCACTTATTGCCAGAAAAGAATTTTTCTTTCTTTTTTTCTCTCGATTACTTGGTGATACCACCTCTGAATATACTCATTCTTTCAAAAGAAACTTTTTGCTGTGATTATATGAATATAAGTTAATATACTCAAAAACAAATTCCTATAAACTTTAATGCAGAAAAATGATTTTAAGAATGGACATGTGTAAAATAGGAATTATGTATATCCCCATTGAGAGGCCCTGACATACTGTAATTGCGTGAAGTCTTTGTTGTCGACAGTCAGTTACCGACACGATATCATTTAAATATCAGGTGTCCATGTCCACACTGTTATGAAATTCATTCTATATGTGTGATACAGTTTTTTGTACCTTTAAAGCTGGTAAACATTTCAAAGTGTTTCTAGCTCTAATATTCGATACAAATAATTATTTTGCGACTCATCTAGAAATTTGATTGCCCATACAATATACAAGAAAGGAAATCAAATTGCCTCTTTTGCATCACAATAATTTGCCAACTGATTCATTTGTAAATAAAATATCGAAATATAATTTTTTTTATGCGCACATCACACGCACATAATGGAAAAGCCCTGTAGGTACATATGCATAACAAAATCGGTTTAAAATGTGAAAAAAATAAAAACGGAACAGCCGCAGCAGTGTATGCAACCCTAGATTTATTTTTTGTGAGCTCGAAATTCACATGAAGATGCGAAATGATCGTTTATACTTGATTGCATTACATATTTACACATTTTGTGACGAAAGTTTGATATTCGAATGAAAATAACAAGTTTAAATATTAGCATAATACTGTTTTTATTCAACTCATAATTTGTTTGGGTGTTTTAGAGAATGTTTCATTGATGTGAAAATATAAAGTTTGTTTTTCGCATACAACCATTTGAAATGCTCACTAAAGTCGATCGTGTGTACACTTGAATTGGCTTTAATTTATGTGAATCTAAGAAACTAATAAAAGATCTTGTATTATAGTCTAGAAATACCAGATCAGACCCTGCAGCAACTTTGTTAAACCATGCCTTGACCATTGCAGAATAAAACCTTTAAATCGGAACACTGTTTCAAGAAATCTGAGATGTATTTAACATTTGCAATCAGACCCTTGACCCCAGTCATATTTTCAACTCATAAAGGTATTTTATTTAATTATATATGCAAAGAAAAATATGAATACTTACTTATATCGGCGACTGTAAATAAAGTCAAAACATATATTTATAAGTATTAAATTGAATTTACATTTTAAAATAGTCCATTTTCAAATTACCGACCTTTAAAAGCATTATTTTTTATCTTAAGGGAAAGGGAAATGATCCCTATACACTGTGTTCAATGTTACTGAAGCCTAATGAAAAATGTGTTGGTGAACGTATAACAATGTAAGCTTTTTTAAAAGCTTTTTCTATTCCGTTACCACTTATTTTGCAATCTCATTTGTGATGCTCTTTGAAAATACGAAGTCAAATTGTTGTTGTTAGATGCGTTACAATAGACCAATGCCATGATCGTCCAATCTATCTTCTACAGGCAGGAACGCAGTATATCCTACCTAGGTGTTGAACCAATTTGCCAAAAAAAAAAATAAAAAAAATAGGAAACAAAGTCGAAAATTTAAAAATGGACTTTTACAATCGAAACTAGTCATCAAAACTACAAAATCTTCCGTACTCTTGATTCTTAAGATTATAATTTGTTCAGAAGTTTAATAGTACGTGTTATAATTGTTTTTCTTAGATCTTCAATTGAAGTATATATTTCTACTTCTTGAATATATATTGTTGTGTGTGTAGTATGATTGTAGAATATTTGTACTGACATATATTTTATTTGGTAAATATGTATAAATACAATGTAGCTTTCACTAATTATTAAAAATATGTCATTCTTTATTTAATTTTTTTTTTTTTTCAATTTCTAGCGTGATTTAGTAAATGACATCTATTTTTAATTGTTAGAAAACAATTGACTGATTGGTTGGTTTATTTACCGATTGTGTAGACTTGAAAAAAAAACATATATTAAAAATTAACAGATGATTAGACCTACCTTCGCAAGCCTTACTCAAGACTAAAGTCTTGATTGATTTCAGTAAGTTGAAATTTGCAGCTGTGAAGACAAACTGGCTCTTAGGTTCACTGGCCACACTCTGGATTTCTGTCGCATCCACGGAACTACCCACTCCTATAGAAAACATTTTAATCCCCTTGAGTCGGGCATTCCTGGCCTCTTCTCGTGTCTGTGCTTTGTTTGAAGAATATCCGTCTGTTATTAAAATTCCGATCATTGGGTGTCCAGGTCTATGGCCTAAATCATGAAAATCATTGGATTCAAACTGTTTAAAATTGCTTACACAAAGCAAGCAAAACAAAAATAAAAACAACAAAACATTCAACATTAATGACTTGCAAATGTACTGCGTGTAACTTATTACTCAAAGCAATGTTAAAATGGAAGAAAAACACGCATATTTGACTACCACTTAGGAAATACCATATACACATAGCATGATATTTTACTGCCACTGGGTCGATGCCTCTGCTGGTGGACTGATAGTCCCCGAGGGTATCACCAGCCCAGTAGCCAGTATTTCGGTAGTGGCATGAAAATACGGGTTTTGTGCTTAATATTTGCTGTTACAAAATTTTGGAAATTATTTTAAATTAAGGAATGTATCTCCCTCATGCAAAGCTCTGATTCCTTGCCCGGCTTTAGCTATACTTTTTTGTCCTTTTTGGTTTATAGCTCTTCATCTTTTAAATAGGCTTTGGATTTTCAAATATTTAAGCCTCGAGCATCACTGAAGAGACATTGATTGTCGAAATGCGCATCTGGTACAGTAAAATTGGTACCGTTAATGTTATTATGACGAGAAATCTTTTATAAACCATCAAAAGCCTTTAAACAGTCTAGTTAAGAAATCAAATCAAATGCAGAAATAGTTATGAAACAAATACATTATCATTTGTCCAGTGATAGGGGTGAGAATTTACTAGATACAAATGATCTTTCAGTCTTTTTTTTTTCGATTAAACAAGAATATTTTTAGATTGAAAAGAATTTTGCTGTTGGATGTGATACATGTATAAACTTTAACATGTTATGTGTATATGGTATTTCATCACATGATCATTTGTTTGTTAAAAATTTGAACTGCAACATGAACGATACTGCTACAAACTTAAGGAAAAAAAACTGAAATTTATTCTAACAGTACTTTTTGTCATGATCGCCTGTGCGACTGGATTGTGTCCATGTCTGAGGGTCTGGATGAGGTTTAAAGAATACAGAATAATGACACAAAAAAACAGAGAAAAATGAGCAGAAAGAAAATAATGGGGGGGGGGGGGGACATATAAAAGATAACTCTAAAAAATAAAAGAAATATAGGTAATACAATACTGGTTACAGAAATGAAAGATGTGTGGTACAGAACAAAGATAGCATCAAGAAAAATTTAATACTTTAAAGTTAAATCATTTCATCAGATTTGTTTGAATTTGATAAAATAACCGTTTTTAAGAATTGAAAAAATCCCTAAAAATTTAAAGAATACAAAAATTAAGGACCCCCACCCAGACCCTGATGTGTCTGCCTTGTAAATCAGTTACAAATCTTTAAGTATACTCTAGATGCACACCTGACGAGCGGGAAAAAGAAGTCGAATGTAGATATTTGATAGCACTTCCGGTATTTGTTCCACCTCCCTCATACTTGATTGACATTATAGCAGCCTTGATATCTTTCTTATTCTGATACTTGTCAAGATTAAACTCCGCCTTCACTGGTGTGTGAAACGTTATCACTCCTACTTGAAACTTGTCTTTGCCAACATCTAGGCCATCAACAATGTCCGACATAAACTTCAGAGTGGTTTTGAAATTTGTTGACCCAACACTGCCAGAATTATCAACCAGAAAAACCAGGTCCGCTCCAGCTTTGCAACCTGATATTATGAATTAGCATACTTATTAAAGTTTGAGAGAAAAAAAAAGAATATGTTATAACTGGATTCCTTTCATTTATTGTTGGTATTGTTTAACTTTATATACATTTGGATTCCCATTCATTTTAGTTTTTTGTTTACCATGTACTGAGCATTTTTTTCGTAATGCACACTACGGTGCCACTAGTAAACGTCGGTAGCTGGTGATTTGTCTCAATTTTCACGTGCAAATATTTGATAATATGTTGGTAAACTACAAAAAAAAAGATTAAGAATAAATGTAATTAAAAAACTGTATACATAGGCACAAATATGAAATATCATTCATAGATCCTGCTAATAGCTAAAATTTTGGCATGGGATTTTTCGGAGTGCACACATCTGTAAAGTAATTCGACAGTTGAAATATGTCGTTAATCAATACACCGTAACAGCAATACCGTTTCTCCATCTTTGGTCAACAAACATAATCTGTACATAAACGATATGTATACAAAGAATTGAATTGCAGTTCTAGTTTAAAACGTTAAAGACTTACCAGTAGGTGTTGGTGCGAATACTGAAATCATAAGATGCAAATATAGTCGTATAATAAAACACAAGGCGATTTGGCGCAGTTGTCAGTAGACAACAAACCTACTAAAAACAAGAAGACAAAACAATAACATCAGAAAGATAATGTACGACCCTTAGCAGTATGTTCACAGCGTTTGGAAAGCTTAATAAATGTTATACAATGCAGGATAAAACACATTTTCTTCTTGCTAGTAAAAAAAATCATCCCTCATTTAATACTGTGCATGGCGTTCATCTTTTGAAATATAAAAAGAATGTCTTCTATCTTGAACCCATCAATCTAACTTAAAGTAATAAATAAGGTTATGTTTGTTAAAACGTATGTAGAACTGAGGGTGAGGGACTGATTCATGTAAATGTATACTATTTTTATCACAAAATGTAATGATGAATAAACACTGGACACTTTTAATTTGCAAAACACTCATTTGCAAATCCGCCGCCGCCTCTCCTTAGACCTACAGTGTCATGTATATAACCAAAATGTGCGGAATTACATGGGATTCAATAATTTCATTGCTTTTCTGCTGTTATTATTATATATATTTTGTAATTTGATTTAGAAAAACATGGGATTTTCAATATCCCATGGGATACGGCAAATCCCATGGGATTTACCATTATCCCATGGGATTTTGGTTAAATCCCATAGGATTTTTTTGGGTCCCATGGGATAATTGTAGTCCCATGGGATATTTGTTGTCCCATGGGACAAAAAAAATCCCATGGGACTATAATTATCCCATGGGATTTTTAATATCCCATGGGACAAAATAAAATCCTATGGAATTCAAATTATAAATATACAGTAATGTGTATGTTACAATGAATTCTGTTTGGTAGTAAAAAGTTTTGTAATATATATATGAGTGTATTTTGGTTTTTTTCATTTTGTCACAAACATGTTTTTAATTTGTTTATATGACAATAAAGATTATTATTATTTTGGAAAGTATAATAATATTTAAAGTCAAAAAATAAAATCCTTTAACTGAAATAAAATGATGACATGTCTTAATAAAAGAAAAAAATATTGATTTGAAATCTTGGTCTTGTTTGTTTTTATTATGAAAAATAGAACTGAAAAAAATATTTCATATTCTGACTGAATAAATTGACAAAGCACAGTTAATAGTTTACTCTTTTCGTGAGGTAAAGTTTCTTTGTTATAGTTCCATTGCAATATATGAATATGCAAAGGATGTGAATCTTATACCTTTGTGGTGTTCATAATATTACATTTATATTTGCAAATTTATAAAATAAACACTTTTCCTGTTAAGATTTAGTTTTCTTGTTTCAGCTTGCTATGAACAATTATTCAGTCCACTATATAAGAGTCAAGTAAATAAATTATTTCATCCACTAGAATATTCCTACAATTCTTAGACAAAACATTTTTGCAATCTGTTTTTCAAAAATCTTCCTCCGTACATCTTTATTGGATGGAGCGATTTAAATGAGTGGCAAGTTCATTTGGACAATAAAATACTAATATATTTTTTCATTCCTCCCTTCTTTCAATTGATAATTACGTTGTTGCATTTACATGATTAAGTTCTTGTGCATCTATGATCATGATGATATGACTCCTTTTTGTTTATAGTCATCATGTTGAAATTTCCTCTTTCTTATGTAGGAAAAAAACACATTCCATTTCAAATTAATAAAAAAGACACACTATGTAGAAAAATATCAACTTTAAGTTTTCTGTTCAGTATTGACCTGTTGAATGATGATCATGAAAACCAAGATGTCTGACCTACAAATACACAAAACTCAAAAATTATAAATGAAGAGAAATACAGCAATAAAATGGCTATTTTATCATGTTTATGTACATTTTGATAAAAATTTCATTTGAATATTTAAAATTGTAAGAACTCTTATTTCAGTGCTTTGTGTCTATGGTTTTCATATTAGTTGTTTTTTGTGCCTTGTTGCAGTCTTTTGAGTTAAGCCAATTGCAACAAATGTTTACAGTTTGTTCAAATGTTGTGCTGTTATTAAAACCAATGTCCCAGGTTAGGGGTGGGTTGGGTGCTCACTAAATGTTTATTTTATTAGTCGATATTTGCTTTGAATTAGCTGTCAGTAACTGTGAGTACTAATAGATCTGTATGTTGTGTCTTTTTTGTTAAAGGGAAAGAATAAATTTCCAGCCACATCCAGTCTGTGTTTTTGGTAGCTGTTTTTCTGCTTTGTTGCATTCTAATGAGTTAATAAAATTGAGAATGAAAACGGGAATGTATCAAAATAACCTGACCCAAGAGCAGAAAAAAACCCTTTTCAACTGATTTTATAGTTTTTATATTGACTGATTTTATAGTTTTTATATTGAACTGACACTTACTCCACTGTCCTTAATTAGAGGAGGATTTGGCGCCAGCAAACATGTTAAACCATGCCACATTTTGTAAGTGTCTGTCCCAAGTCAGGGGCCTATTATTCAGTGGTTGTCAATTGTTGCTATATATCATATTTGTTTTTTGTTTATTGTTTTGTGCAAAAATCAGGCACTTAGCTTTCACCTTTGTGGTGTTTCCCCCAAAGCATGTTTAGCATGGATAGACACCATGCCCTTTTTAAATGACGCCATGCCCTTTTTGAATTGTTTTACATTTGTTATTTCATGGCCTTTTATAGATTTCTATGCAGTATAGGGTTTGCTCATTGTCGAAGGCTGTACAGTGAACTAATTTTGTTAAATTTAATGTCATTTGATTTCTATTGGAGAAAAGTCTCATTGGCAATCATACCGCTTCTTATTTTTATATCAACCCTGCTATATTTTGCCTGTCCAAAATCAGGAGCCTGTACATAGTTCAGTGGTTGATGTTGGTTCACGTCCGTCATATTTGTTTTCATAACTTGTTTTTTTTATAAATTAGTCTGGTAAATTTGAAGTTTGAATTGTTTTTTTTCTAAATTTTGTTTGTGGTGTCTTTTATAGATGACTATATCATGTATAGGGTATGGGTTTTCTCATTATTTACAGGTCATCATTGGCCTCTAATAAGTAATTGCATTGCTTACATCCACTTAATTGAACTCTGGTGGATAGTTTTCTCATTTATCATACCACATCTTATTTTCATAATAAACATTATTCAAGGGCAATAACTTTTATAGAAGTGGACTTACCATTTAGGTTTTGTTGACGTCTGTAAATCTATTTTTGTTGATAATTTCTTTTGTTTATAGTTTCCCTTTATCTTTAATGTTCTTGCCCTACACATAAAAGGGTAAACATTATCATTTAATGACAATAACTACTATTACATAATGAGTAGGCAACTGACAATTTTGGATCATTTTTATATCTTGTCTTGCTCATCATTTTTGCTGTTTAATATTATCAATATTCTAAGAAAATGAGGTCACAGTAATATTAAACTTGGCAGACAGACATCTTCTTATTTTTATATGACTCCTTGCAGTCATTCCATACACCAACAAGTAGACATATGCTTATAATATCTGATAAAATGAAAAAAACAAGAAAACTTAGCATTGACCAAAGAACCATAAAATGCGATCATGGTTATATGAATCTGCCAGACAGACATGTACACCTTACAATCGTTACATCCGCCAAATATAATTTACCTGTTGCTTAAAGCATATGATAAACTGACAAAACAATGCAAATTTTTCATTGACCAATGAAACATGAAAATGAGGTCAAGGTCATATAAAACATGCCAGACAGACATGTGCATCTCACAATCATTCCATTCACCAAATATAGGGGCCTTATTCATGTTATTGCTTACAGTATCCGAAAAAAACACAAAAACTAAACATTGTCCAATGTACTATGAAAATAAAGTCATGGTAAGATGAAACTTCTCAGTCAGACATATGCACCTTACAATCATTCCATACACCAAATATAGTTGACCTATTGCTAATTTGAAAATAAGAAAATAGAAAAACTGATCAAAAAACAAAAAAATAACATTGAGCAATGAACCATAAAAATGAGGTCAAGGTCGAATAAAACATGCCAGACTAACATGTACATCCTTAAAAATTTTCATACACCAAATATACTTGACATGTTGCATACAATATTAGAAAAACTGGACATTTTTACCTAGGAATAGTGATGTCATGGACTAGGAAAATTAGTCTGGGGACATAAATAATATTTTACTGACATCGGACTTAATATACTAGTAAATTCTGTATCTGTGGACTTTTTATACTAGTTATATTTGTCTGACCAGACAATTTTTACCAGGACTAATTTATCTCTTACACTAGTTCTCAGAGAGACATGTCACCTTACCTTGACACATTATTCTGACTCTGAACAAACCAGTATTTGCTCTTACTCCTTAATAATACTGCGTGCTTAGGGGAGTAGCAGCAAATACCAACTTTAAAGTCTTTGGTTTTACCCGGTTGGGTTCAAAATAAACAACCTTCTGCACTTGAGGTGAACACGCTACCACGAGACCAGGCAGTATAATATAAGGAGTTTACCCAAGATTTAGAGTTTCCAAGTTTTTGCAAAAACTGGATCAAAATCATCATTGAAAAGCAATAACTTTTTAATAAGATTTAAGTTTCTCTTTAATTATTACAGTTTTCGAGATAAAAAGGCAAATTCAAGAAATATGAAGAAAAAAAAATGGTTAAATAAAATCTGTATTTTAAGGCAACAACTCCTATGAGTCAGCTGCCAGTTTTGATGCAAATGGACAGTAGATTTTTTTTTCAACATTCTGAACATTTCTACCCTTGTCAGATATTGTCTATCTATTTTGGCCTTTTGTAGCTTATTACGCAGTTTGGCTTTTTAGCCCATTGTTGAAATCTGTACGGTGACCTATATAGTTGTTAACTTCTACGTTTTTAGTTTCTGTTGAAGAGCCGTCACATTGGCAATGATACTATATTTGTATATGTTTTGTTATGTAGGTGTAAGGAGACAACCTTTTGATTTTCTGGTGGGATAAAAAGGGGAGACAGATT